TATTTCTATTTGTCTTATAATTAATTAGTCGTGGTAGTAATTGGTGAAACAGGTTCCGGAAAGACTACACAGCTGACCCAGTATCTTCACGAAGACGGATACAGTAAGTATGGTATGATTGGGTGCACACAACCACGTCGTGTAGCTGCCATGTCTGTAGCGAAACGTGTAAGTGAAGAGATGGAATGTAAACTTGGAACAACCGTTGGCTATGCAATTCGATTTGAAGACTGTACATCAAGTGAAACAAAAATTAAGTGTAAGTAACAATTTAATATTAATTATAAAACAAAATCTTATTTCTATAAACAGAAATCGAACTTAAAATATTCTTATAATAATTAACTTTTAGATATGACTGATGGTGTAATGCTTCGTGAATCACTCAAAGAACCTGATCTTGATAATTACAGTGCTATCATTATGGACGAGGCTCATGAACGTTCTCTTCAGACAGACGTCTTGATGGGCTTGTTACGTAAAGGTACTTTTTTATGGTTGAATAATGTTTCGAAAAGTTATTAATTCATTTGCTGTTTTAGTTATATCAAGACGCAGGGATATAAAATTATTGGTAACGTCTGCAACTATGAACGCCGAAAAGGTATGTATCCGATAACATTATGATATATATATATATATTTTACTTTAATTTTTTCCATTAGTAAAATCATGAATTAGTTACACTGACCAGAATAATTCCCTCATTCAAAATTTTAGTTTTCTGCATTTTTTGGACACTGTCCCACATTCACAATCCCCGGTCGTACTTTTCCAGTTGATATAATGTTTAGCAAAACTCCTTGTGAGGATTACGTCGATAGCGCGGTCAAACAAGTGTTGTCCATCCATATCGGTAGTCCTGCGGGAGATATTTTGGTATTTATGACCGGTCAAGAGGATATTGAAATTACGTGTCAGGTCATTGCAGGTATTTAGTTAGAAATTTTTATATATCTAACTTAATGTTGAAAATTCTTGAATGTGCTGAATAATCATATGGTTGGCTGTTGCTTACGCTTTTGTTTTTTCATTCGATTATAATAGAACGGCTTGAACAACTAGATAACCCTCCACCATTAGCGATTCTTCCAATATATTCACAATTGCCTGCAGATTTGCAAGCAAAGATTTTCGAAAAAGCTGCAGATAACGCACGCAAAGTCATTGTTGCGACAAATATTGCAGAGACTTCGCTAACCGGTAATTTTATTATTATCAATTATACTAATCTGCAAATAGTAGTTTACTAACTCATAAATCAATTATTCTTTTATTCCAAAAGTTGATGGTATAATGTATGTTATCGATACTGGCTATAACAAATTAAAGGTTTTTAATCCTAAAATCGGTATGGATTCCCTTCAAATAACTCCAGTCAGCCAGGCGAATGCAAATCAAAGGTCTGGTCGTGCCGGTCGTACAGGTGCCGGCACGTGTTACCGTCTTTACACAGAGCAAGCATATCATCATGAAATGTTTCCGAATACTATTCCCGAAATTCAGAGAACTAATCTTGCGAATGTGGTGTTGTTACTTAAGTCTTTGGGCGTTAAGAATTTGCTGGATTTTGATTTTATGGATCCGCCACCTCAGGTATTTATTATAATTGGTAATAGAATAGTCAAATTTATCTTTTCTAATTGGAATTATTACCTCTAAATTCAAACCGATCTGCATGCGGTTTAATATTATAATATTAAATTTGACTTAAAAAAACCTGCAAGAGTGATAATTCATATATTAACACCGTATCATTGTTGTCATTTAGGATAATATATTAAATTCAATGTATCAACTATGGGTGTTGGGTGCTCTTGATAACACAGGCGAATTGACACCACTTGGTCGTAAGATGGTAGAGTTTCCATTAGACCCATCTTTATCTAAAATGCTAATTATCTCTGAACAATTAGGTTGCACGGCAGAGATATTGGTGCGTACTTCTATTTGTGATTATTAATATTAATTTATCTCTGCTGACTGTCTTTTTTCTGTTCTCTGATCATTTAGACTATTGTATCTATGTTATCAGTTCCTTCAGTTTTTTATCGGCCCAAAGAACGCGTAGAACAAAGTGATGCAGCACGGGAAAAATTCTTTGTTCCCGAAAGTGATCACTTGACGCTCCTGCACGTTTACACACAATGGAGATCTCATGGGTAGATACATATTTTTATTTTCGCTTTACAATGACATGGTAACATAGCACTTATCCAAAATAATTAATGTTAGTTATCGCGAAGACTGGTGTGTAAAACATTTTATCCATGCAAAAGCAATGCGAAAGGCCCAAGAAGTTCGTTCACAACTAATGGACATCATGAATGCCGAAAGAATGGAGTATGTCTCGTGCGGCACAGAATGGGACGTCGTCCGGAAATGCATCTGTTCCGCGTACTTCCATCAAGCGGCACGCGTAAAAGGCATCGGCGAGTATGTGAATTGTCGTACGGGTATGCCGTGTCATTTGCATCCGACGAGTGCACTATACGGACTTGGATATACGCCCGATTATATCGTGTATCATGAACTAGTGATGACTTCTAAAGAGTACATGCAGTGTGTGACGGCTGTTGATCCGTATTGGTTGGCTGAGATGGGGTATGATTTGGTGATTTTTTTTTTGTTATTCGTTCTAGCAGCCTTTTGTTAACTATTGCTTTTTATAATAGCCCAATGTTTTATTCGATCAAAGAAAAGAACTATACCCAAAAGGTAAACTATATACATGTATATTCATTCGTCGCGTTCTTTGTCCATGATTAAGTTATTTGATATTAGTGAAGCCTCTTTTTTATCGCTATTGAAATTTCACGCTTATAACTTCAATTTACAATAATAGGAAAAACGACTAGCCAACAAAGCAGAAATGGCCAAAATGAATATGGAGCTTCAGATAAAGATCACGCGTGAAAAAGAAGCCGAAGAAGTCGAGCGGCAAAAAAAAGCGTCGCTTACCCCACGAGGTTTGACACAAATAGTTACACCTGGCCGACGAGAACCTGGTACGCCGATGAGAAAGCGAAATCTTGGGTTATAATTATATAGTTATTTGAACAATCAAGGAAAGATTTAAATTTATATATAACAAATAGAC